TCAAGGTCCACCCCGAGAAGCGCCTCAGGTCGCCTGGGGGCGATTCTTGAGGGGGGGTGATGTAAGAGTAGCACTTGCTGCAGCCCCAAGATGGCCACGATTACCCACAGCTGACATTTGTCTACCTGATGAGCCCCAACTCTACATAAGGCTGCAGTCAAGTTATACTCTTCGTTGGAGTATTGATTCCTCTTTGGTATTTATGCTTCTAGCCAGTATTACTAGAGTTTAATGAAAAGACTTACCTTGTTTTTGTGTGCCCACAGTCATCCTGTCGTTTGGATCCAGTCCTGTTTTTACCTTGGTCCTGTGAAGCATTTTTACTATAAAGAAAAATTGATATGCATCAGTAATAACCAGTCTAAGGTTGCACTGTCATCTGGGTGTACCACCACCATGATGACATCTGGACCTTCCATGCCTCCTGCTGATCCAGTCCTCACAATCCTGTTCTGTCTGATCATTTTTTTAATTACCTTGGTGTTTAACATTAAATTACTACACAGTCACTGACTAAATTTCATCTTAGCGGGTGTTTATCAGAAAAGGCTGTAACCAAATTTAAAGATTTTCTTCTATCGTTTTCCTCTGTTTTGCAGAGTAATAAATCAGAGAGCAGTGACTTAAATAATCTGGTTGATAAATTTACAACTTATTTGCAAATTTCACTTAAAATAACTGCTCCACTGAAAAAGAAAGTAATTAATCAGAGGAGTCTGGCTCCTTGGTTCAATTCTGAGTTACATACTTTAAATCAGGCATCTAGAAACCTGGAAAGAAAATGGTGCTACACTAACATTGAAGAATTTTACTCATCTTGGAGAGATAGCCTGCCAACATGTAAAAAAGTGCTCTGTAAAGCTAGAACTTTATATTATTCATCTTTCATTGATGAGAAAAAAAATAACCCTAGGTTCCTTTTCAGTATCATAGCTAGTCTAAATACCCTATCTCTGCTGAACCATGTATCCCTACAACTATAAGCAATGATGAGTTCACAAGATTCTTTATAAATAAAATTAGTTAAATTAGGGAAAAAAATTAAAACCAACCTTCCTACTATCGTCTCTGTTTCCGTATCTGATGAGACAATTTAAAAATGTCACTAGAACTTGATTTATGTTTGGACTGTTTTTGTCCTGTTGAGCTCTCTGAATTGTCAAACCATCCATATGTATGCTAGATCCCATCCCATCCCAACCAGGGTATTTAAATACATATTTCCTTTAATTAATAATCACCCCTTGGATCTGCTTAATTTTTCTCTAATGAATGATTGCATACCATAGAGCTTTAAGATTACTGTAATTAAACCTTTACTTAGGAAACATAACCTTGACTCAGGAATCCTAGTCAATTATAGATCTATATCTAATCTAAATTTCATCTCAAAATTCTAGAGAAAATGGATGCAAGTCAGTTGCGTGAACATCTACATAGAAATATACTGTTTGAAGAGTTTCAGTCAGGGTTTAGAGCTTACCATAGCACAGAAACAGCACTGGTGAAAGTTACAGTACTAATGATATTCTCATGACCTCTGACAATGGACAGGTGTCTACACTGGTCATGTTAGATCTCAGTGCTGCATTTGATAAAGTTGATCACAATATTCTACAAAGTACTACAGAGACATGAATATGATATTGGGATTACAGGAATGGCTCTAAAATTGGTTAAAATCATATTTATCTGATAATTACAGTTTGTAAATGTAAGTAATGAATATTCGTCATACACCAAAGTTAGTCATGGAGGTCCTCAGGGTTCAGTGCTTGTACCAATACTCTTTACTAGGGGTGCACCGATTTCAATTTTCTTGCCTATCACCGATCGTTAGAAAGACTGATCTGCCAATTCCGATTTTGTCCGATACCGATTTTTTTTATATAAGCGACACTGTCATATGTTATAAGGTCACAATGCACCTTCAATTTTCCATTCTTATTTTATTGTAAAATCCTAGAAACAATACAATCTTGTTGTTTTAACTTGTCATGAGGTAGTATTCTGAAATATAAATGAAGTTAGCACAATTGTTGTTAAAACTATAAAAATTAAGGAAATCAGGGCCCAATCGGCCATCCTTAAAATAACTCTTAACTGGAGTTAGTAGGAGAGATCATATCGCTCCAGTTTTAGCTTCTCTCCATTGGCTCCCTGTCAAATTCAAAATTGCATTCAAAATCTTACTTCAAACCTACAAAGCTCTCAATTATCTAGCTCTATCTTATAGTTGAGATCTTGTTGTTCCATATTTTCCTAACAGAGCACTTCGCTCTCAAACTGCAGGCTCACATGCGGTTCCTAGAGTTTCCAAAAGCAAAATGGGATGAAGATCTTTCAGTTATCAGGCTCCTATCTTGTGGAACCAACTTTCACTTTTTGTCCATGAGGCTGACACATTGTTCAGTTTTAAGACTGGGCTTAAGATTTTCCTTTTTGATAAATCCTATAATTAGGGTTGGCTTGTTAAGCTATAGGCTTAGACTACTAGAGGACAAATTGATCTCATTTCCTTAAATGAATTGCTAAAATTGAATAGTTTACATTTGATATTATTTCTATCTTAAAAAGTGATTCTCGACCTGCCACTGTGTATCTGTTCCTCCTTTCTGTCCTCTCAAACCCAGCTGGTTGAAGAAGATGGCTGCTTGTCCTGAGCCTGGTTCTTGGTGCTAAAGGTTTCTTTCTCATGAGGGAGCTTTTCCTTTCCACTGTTACCTTCATGCTTGCTCAAAATGAGAGTTCTGCGATGGAGTTAAATTCAAACAATCTGCTCCTCAGATAAATAATGTTAACAGTGTATGAATGTGTGACACTATAGACAACCCTCAGCATCCTTTTCATCAGACTGTCATACAACAACAGAGTGTCTTCAGTCAGAGGCTTCTTCAAATCCGTTGTAGGACAGACCGCTACAAGAGATCCTTCCTGCCCACAGCCATGAGCATCTATAACAACTCATTAATGAAACCAGGATGATGAGTTACCACAACATATAATTTCCCTCTGGGATTAATAAAGTATTTTTGAATTGAATTGAATTGAATATCAAAGCACTGATTAGTCTCTTTAGAATGATTTGTTCAATTAGCTTTGTAGAGCTCTAGTAGAGTGCTGTATGAATGGGTAAATGAGGGCACAGATTGTAGTGTAAAGCACTTTGAGTGCCTGGATAAGATAGAAAAGTGCTATATAAGTGCAGTCCATTTAACATTTAACATATTTTTGTATATATGACTGTTTCTGTTCAGTGCCCAGAGACGACTTCTGTTGTGACTTGGCCCTATATAAATTAACTGAATTGAAATTGACTTAAATCGAGAGCGTTGCCTTTTTGACTGAGCTCTTTCTTCACCATGACCAACTGATGCAATGCCCTCATTACTGAGGACAAGGCCCAATCCCATTGATCAATTTCCCACTCCTTCCTAACATCACTCAGGAATAAGATGCTCAGATACATACATTCCTCTACCTGAGGCAAAAAATATATTGATCTAGCTAATTCCCTATTGGATCAGGTGCAGCAGAGTAGTACAGTGGGGGAGTGGTGGCGCAGAGGTTAGAGAGGTGGGCTTGTGATCCGAAGATCGCCGGTTCACGCCCCGGCCCCGACAACATCAAAATTGTGGGTGGGGTAGGTGAAACACCCACACTTGCCCCCACCCTCATTCGCCCCACTCTGGGCCCATGAGCAAGGCCCTTAACCCCCACCATGTGCTCCCTAAACAGGTCTCTCTTGAAAATGAGTTCTCGTGGCTCAATGAGACTAACCTGTATAAATAAAGGCTAAATGAAAAAAAAACAAAACAAAAAAAAAAACAGTGGTAGTGTGCTTGGCAGTTTCTACTTGCTGTGGATTATTCTTCTACATTGTTGCATTGAACGTGTGTTGCCTGTAATTTTGGTTAGTCTGTTACATACCCGTATAGCTTGGAAAATGGCCTTTTTCAGACTGCAGGTTTACTTGTTGTTCCTAGTTTTCAAAAGCAGAATGGGAGACAGAGTTTTCAGTTATCAGGCTCCTCTCTTGTAGAACCAATGACTTGGGGTGTCCTTTTCTGTCCCTTAGTTATGCTGCTATAGGCTTAGACTGCTGGAGGACAAATTGGCCACATTTCCTCACTCTGCTGCTGTCTTTATTTGCTCTGCTCTACCTGTTTTGTATTTCTACCTGTTTTGTATTTGTAATAATTTCTGACCATAACTCTTTTTTTTTGTCTTTCTTCCGATAGGGGATACATCTAGACCTGTCATTCTGTGTTCATTTGTCTCTCCTTTATGTCTTCTCAAAACAGCAGAAGCAGATGGCTGCTCGTCCTGAGCCTGGTTCTGTTGAAAGTGTCTTCCTGTTAAAAATTTGTTTTTCCTTTCCACTGTAGCCTGCTTGCTCAGAATGGGAGACTGTGACGAATTGAAGATTCAACATAATATGCTGGCTTCCTTAAATAGATAACTTTACTAATTGGCTTTTTTTTTAATATATATATATATATATATATATGTGGATGTCTTTGTACAGTGCTCTGAGACAACTTCTGTTGTGACTTGGCACTATATATACTGTATATATATACTGTAT